GGATAGGCAGGGTCAGACCCTCAGATGTGCGAGGATTCTCCAACGATAGACGTGTACGTGTGCTGATCTTTGTAATTATAAATTGTGAATACATGTGACTAATATTATTTTCTTTTTTATTTTGTGCATGTTACAAGTTATAAATAAATATAAACAAACAACACTAACTCGATAACATTAAATCTAAATACCAAAACGATTAATTTACTGTGTTTTTGTTATTTATTACTCCTGTTTTTTAAGTATTTGGTATTCGGCCGAATAGTGAAAAATAGGCCGAATACCAAATAGTAACCGAATATTCGTTACATCACTATTTTGTACAGACCAGGGCTTTGCACTTCTTGAAATTTATGGGGAGCTTGTGGCTTTGACTCCATTTGTGTATTTTTTCTAGGATCTCGTTACTTTTGCTTTGTAGTGTGTTTCAATTTTGGTGTCTAATCATTAGAAGAGTGTCGTCTGCGAAGCCCTGTATCATTATATTGTCTGTGCTTTGAATCGTGTCCAGGAGGTTATCATAAGTCAGATTCCAAAGCCCAGGGCCTCTACGGGAGCTGTGGGGGCATCCTCTGTTCACTTGTTTAATGATGTTCATTCCTCCCAAGAAGAAGCCAGCCGTTCTGTCCTTCAGATAACTATTTAGTAGGTCGTATATATTCTTCAGACATCCATAGGTCCTCAGGCTATTTGTGATAGACAGCCACCATAGGTGGTCGAAAGCCTTTTTAAAATCTATGCTTACCAGCAAGGCATGCTGGTCTTTGTCCCAGGCTTCCTCAATGAAACGGGTGGCTTTGTGAATTGCCATGGTCGTTGAACTACCAGGCCTAAACCAATATTGGTTTTTATTCTGAAGTTTATGGCTTACCAGATGCCAATTGATCCGGTTTGTCATAAGTCCATCAAGGACTTTGCCCAATACCGGAAGAAGACTAATAGGGCGGTAGTCTTGCTCAAAATTCAGTTGATCCTTTTTTGGGATGAAGATGACGTTCACCCCTTTCCATTGGGTCGGGAAGTAGCCTATCTGTAGGCAGCTGTTGTATAATATTACAAAAGAGATGGGAATTTCTTCAAATGCGTGCTTCAGCATTTCGGCTGTGATACCATCTATTTCAGGGGCTTTCCTATTGGCCAGAGATTTGATGGCCTTGCCCACTTCGTTAAAGGTAAACCATTTATCCTGGTAGCTGGTGTAGTTTGTAGTATTATTGTGCCGGATCTGTTGGTGATAGTCGTTGTCTTCTTCTGTATTGTCTTCTGGGAAGTGGTAGTCCAAAATATTTTTGATGTTTTCTTCTATGTCATAGTTATTGTTAGTGGTGTTACTGTTGGTGATATTCAGGATTGTAGCCTTCGCATTTTTCTTGAAGGCCACTTTGTAGGGTTGTCCCCAAGGGTCTTTCAAGTGATCCCCACAGTATTTGCGCCAGGATGCACTCTTAGTTTTGTTTATATTTTGCTTGTAGCTCTTTAATTCCTCATTATATTCTTTCCTCAGGGTCCCTGTCAAGTTGGGATTCTGGTTCCTAGTCCATTTTTTGCGGGCTTTTCTAACTTTTCTTTTTCGGTTTTCTAATGAGCTTGTCCACCAATGGGTCTTATTGGGGTTACTTGCGTTTATTTTTGATGATAGCTTTGCTGCCAGGGTCAGTGAATCCATTATGTGTTTTACATAGTTATTTATGCTTTGGGTGTCTTGCATTTGTTCAAAGATATAGTTCTTCCAGCTGACTGAGTAGATGTTCTTGAATAGTTCCCAGTTTATTTTTCTTCTGTAATGTGGTGTGGTGGTATTTGTCGTACGACCTCGGCCCCTGGCCCTGGTCACAATGTACCTGTGGTCACTGGCCGAGTCAGTGAGGACGGTCTCACACTGCTGGAAGTAGCTGCTTATGCTGTTGGGGGCAATGCAGACATCCGTCCAACCCCTGGCCCTTCCATTAAAGAAGGTGGGGATGTCTGAAGTGTTCATTGAATAACAGTCGAATTCATTTATTAGGTCCTCAAGGAGTTTCCCTCTATCGTCCTATTCCTCGTGGAACCACAGCGGGGATTTAGCGTTGCAGTCTCCAGAGATAAAGTAAGTTTTGCCCTCTAGTTTTCTCATTACTTCGCTTAGTTCTTTTATGCAACCCTCATCCTCATCAAATGGGGAGAAATACACACTCAGTATAAAGTCCATAGGGCCTTGGTGAAGGGCCACTGTTGTAATTCTGTTGGAGCTAAGCTCTGGAACAAGAGCTGCTTTAATGTTGGAGTTCCTTATGATAATCCCACATTTGGATCTCTTTTACGCCTCCCCTTTATTAAGAACACGCCAGGAGCCGAACCTAACAATTTTTTCTTCTATTGTATAGGGCTCCTGGATCATAATAATGTCCGCATTCATATTTCATTTCAATTACTAGAGACGAGGCAGCTTGACTTTTTTGGGTATTGATTTGTAGGAAAGTTGTGGTTGTATTAGACATTATCGGTTGAAATCCGTAAAAGCAGAATGTTCAGTTACTCGTAGATCGTCTGTCTCACCAACATTCTTTTATACTTTTGCAGTATTGGGCAGAACGGTGCGAATGCATTGTGGTCCGTCCAATACATTAATTCCTTTGGTTGTTTTTCGTTCGCTTTCTCGCAGTGTGTACATTTGGGGTCTTCATCTTTTCTCGTATATTCTCCGTACTTATGCTTCTTGGCACAATGACTGCATCTAGTTCTCTGATCGCAGTTGGCCGCCATATGCCCATAGCCAGTACATTTGTAACACCTGAGGACTGGGATATAGTCGTCTATTATTAGCGTTCCCCATTCGTAACTTAGGTGCTTTATTGTTATAAGTATATTTCTTAAGGTTGGTGAAACCGACATTACTATGTGTCTGCAATCACTCTTTCGTTTAGAATTCAGTGCATGTGTTATTTTGGTTTCCTGGCGGATACTAGAGAATGCCATTTTGTTTTTTTTTTTTTTTTCGCGTTTTGTTCATAAATTTTCCGCAGCAATTCCTCCTTTTCCTCTGTTTTTGGGACGTTTAGAATAATGACCCTTGGCCTCCTTTTTGTTGGTCTTGTTATCCGGACCTTTTCATTTATCTGAGGTAATTTCTCTATAGCTTCTTTTAAGTTGTTGGTGTCTTGCTCTGATCTTACCCTGAATTTGAGGCTGCCACTCGGCAGGGTAGTAACCGTTTTTATTCCAATATTCAGACTAGTCGGATTATTTTTCTCTTGTATTTCACCCATAACTTCTTTAGGGCATAGTGTTGAGCTCTCTTCGTTAATTATTGGTTCTATAAGCAGTTCTTGTATTTTGGGTTCCTCCTTTTTCCTAGCCACTGTTTCCATGATAATATTAGTAGTTTGGCTGCCGATGGGATAGTTGCGCTTGACCATATCTGCGAAATTGGGCTTCTCCTCCTTACCCCCGGCCCTTAGGGCAAGAACCATGCCATTCGATGGTTAGCTCGAATCGAAGAAACCATGCCATCGAAGCCACCTTTTGCCATGCCACGTGCATGTCGAGGGCGGCTTGCCTGATGCACTTCCTATTATTCACCGACACCGAGTCATACGAGTTGGCTGGCAGTGCCTGCATAATTATGTCCAGTCCATTCGAGATGGATTCCAAGATGCTTTTCTCTGGTAGATCCATTGAGTCCAAGAATACAATACACAGACCCCGACAATAAGAGCCTTAATACTACTAATATAACTATACTATAAGCTAGTGAACTAGTAATCTACAGCTACACGTTGAGAATTAACAAAAACGCCCGGACAAAAATTTTTTTTTTTTTTTAAATACAACAATTAGAGTAGTAATATATCAGTACAGAATAAAGCTTAAAATAGGCACCCGAATGATATACTCCACTTAATAATGCAGTAATTAGGACCCGAGATAACGGGCAGAAAAACCGCCGAACTAGGGTCAGCTAGGTTGCTGACTCGGCCACGTGCTAAGGTCAATGACCTTTGGTTCCTTTGTCTATATCAAATTTAAAAATGCCCGTAGATCCTAAATTATTGGACAAAAATTTATATTTACAGAGCGGGTAGTATCCGATCATACAAAAGAAACACCCGAATAGGAACCGAATCGGTGGCCTGATAGGCCCGCACGATGGCCCAAAATGCGAAAATTCCCGGTCGTTAAAAAACAAGAACGGAATGCCACATCCAAAAACCAAGGACGGCGTAAGAAAGGCCGTAAAATGCAGAGTAAAATGATATGCAAGTTGATGCCTTACCGGTGGAATTCGCCCGGAAAAAGCGGTCAGAAATCCTGGAAATTCCGGAGGCTGTATCTCCTTAACGGCTGGGCCGATCCGGAAAAACTAGATGTCACTCAATAGCCCTCGAAAAGACGAATCCAACGATGTACATTAATCCTCGGATTGATGAAAATAACTCCAATGCAATGTTCGAAAAAAAGAGCAGAAGCACACATGTCCAAACCCACGACTAGCACGTGGAACCATGATTTCAATATACTGCATATGTTCTAATATAATTTAAATTTGAATGTGTTATTCGAAAAGCCATTGATTCGAATGTCTTTAACCTGATGATGGCTCGTGGAATGGGTTGAAAACGTTTGTTTAGCTGAATAAATGAGCTTTCTCAGTATTAAGGTGTGTTGACTTTATAAAGTTAAAGAATCTGAGTGTGAATAGGAGACTTATCTGTAAAAGTTCGTCCGATGGAGAATTATTTTTAATAAAATAAAAGACAAAACTGTCCAAAAAGGATCACCATTTATTACTTGTGTTCCAAGACTAAAACATTTTCGGCGACTGACCTTTCTTTTTAGGCTACTTGTCGCCGTAAAGTTCACAAAAAGTCCTNGTTTTATTTTATTTTTTTTAATTTTGAATGCTAATAACGAGTAAAATATTCATTAAGAGATATGACACATGACCACTTTTAGGTCTTCACCCTGTCAACCTTTAATTAAGAACCAAAATTTACTAGTATTAATGCCTCTTTATACGTAAGCTACAGTGCCACATTTTGTTTCTTAAACTTTACCCATTCTGAGATATTGTTTAATATCTCAGAACAGAAAATAAAGAAATTAAACAAATTGGATGCCAACACACATGTGCATGCGAATTTTTCCCTTTACTGACTTTTTTGAGGGGTTCAGGAGGTCTCCAAACGTGTAGATTTTCAAAAAAAGAAAAAAACTTGGAGGGTCAAATTTGACACGATTCCAATACTTTTCCGTTTTATATACATAACAAGTTGGTAAGTAAAAACGAGTCAAAGTCAGTGGATTTTTTGATGAGTCCGACTCCGGCTAAAACACCAAAATTCGACGACTCCGACTCCACAGCCCTGGAAATTATTTACTGCAACGTTATATTGTACAAAATGCACATTCTTTAAAAGTTGTACTTATATAAGATTTTATGAGCACATGTTGAAAAATATAAAATATTGCACTGAAGAGGGGCTTAGCATTTATATAAGTCTGAAATGCATATGTGGAAACAATAAAAGAAGTGCCTAACCTGAAAGCTGTAATGATAGTCTACTGAACTTAATTTCAGATTAAGAGACATACATTTATAGATCGTAATAACAGCTACCACAAGTGATATTTTGCAAATATATTGTTAACAAGTTACATAATAATTATGACGTTTTAACACCACTTTACTATATCAAAAATCACAAAGTATAGATTATAAAGATATTTAATCCAGTATTTAGTTTATCTTAAAAAAGAAAACCTGTTTATGTTATTCACACTTAATCATCATTAAAAAAAATCTGTTCTAGTTTTAAAAAAATTTGTATATTTGTTCAAAAATATTTTCAAATATGTTAAAAATTAAAAAACATAAGTTTAAAAATTGTTTGTTATATTAATATCATTTGTTGATTTAAAACAATATTTGACACTTATTGGTACAGTACCATTGCAAAATCTAAAGAAAAATAGATTATCAGAGAAATTGTATGGGTTTGATATCAAGTAATTCATTGATATAGAAATAATTTTTTGAAAAGTTCTAAAAACTATAAGTATAAGAACTTACATGAAGTTCATACTTTTTAGAGTATGCATTCTAATTAATATTGTTAAATGTTATTTTAAAACAGATTTTATTAGATTATAATGTAAGTTCAAATGCCTATGATTTTCTTTTGTTAGAAATAGTTAATAAAGATTACCAATCAGCTATGAGACTTTAAGAAATTTATAGAGACTTGTAAGTATGTATACTTTCTATATATTTTTTTAAGTATGCAGTATAATCACTTAGTCATTTGATTTTGCTTTTCTAAGTATATAAGCATGACATTCTATTTATAGTTTGTATATATGAAAAAATTGGAATTAGGATGAAAAAAAAGATAGTTTTAAATTATGCAATAGTTTATCATCAATAATTGATGAAAAAACTTATTTTTATATTAGATGAAAAAATTAGGGTATAGAATAAAATAGTCAGTTTTTCTAAGTAGATAAAATTGATCGATTAATATTATTTTTTAATGATTTATATATAGTTAACCACAAAATTTAAATTTTCATTTTCATAATAAATTATTTAAATTAGATTTAAGTAATTTTTTTTAGAATACAGTTAATGTTTTCATGAGACTAGCATTAAAAACATTTCAACTGAAATTATATTTACTTTCATTTAATAATTACAGTTCAAGTTAATAATTTAACACTACAATAAGATGAATGATATTTGTATCACATATTACTCTCATTATTCATTATGATTAATATTCCATTTGTGTTCATTCAGTAATAATTGTTTTTAGAATACAGTTTATTACAAATGTAATCAAATAAACAAATTTCTCTTCAAAAGGGATTAAAGTCATCTTATAAAATAAATAAAAATATATGATATAACTAGATTTATTTTATTGTTTATTGTAAAATTTTACAACTGATTTGTAGATTTCTTAAGCAAATGTGATAGTTTTTTATTCCTCTATCTAAATAATTTCCTATAATATAGGCTATATGCCAGGCATTGGCAAATGTGGCTCTTTTTGAGTTACGTGGCTCTTGCTGAAAATGTAATTTCTGCTTTTTATTATTATTTTTACAATTTTATTTCCACACTTTTGTGAAAATATGTTTATTAAAAAATTCAATATTTGTTTTATTTTATATAATAAAATTGTGGTAAAGAATTAAAAAGAATAGAACTGTGGCTCCCATGCATTTTGCAAAACCTACATTTTGGCTCCCACTGAACTCTTGCTTGCCCACCCCTGCTATATACACATACATATAATACATAATATATAATATATATATATTTTTTTACATATGTAATTTTTACTGACAATTATTGTTGATGAAACTTTTTAGTTTTATTGTAATAGTTAAAAATTTTTTTTAAATATATAAACTAAACATACATTTATAGATTTTTCCAAATAAAATTATTCATAATTAATTAATAAATTAGCGAATATTACAAATTTTAGATTTAAATCAATATAATACATCAAAATAATGTATAAAATAGAGATTCTATTGACATATAATAAAGTTTTATGTAACAATTTTGATATATTTTATAAATATCAAATTATAATTGATTTATTACTTAATAATTTCAGTTTAAAAATAAATGTAAAAACAATTATCTTAAATGTTAATAATTGAAGATATATAGTAAATTGAAATTTAATAAACAATATTTAATTTTATTAAAGAAAAAATTTCTATATATAGGCCTAAATTAATTTGAAATATAACGTGAAAGGTAGCATTTCATTAATGTGTAGAAATAATTTTAAATGCCTATTTTTATTAAATTTTATAAAAGCAAACAGCGTTAAACAGCTTTGTTAAATGAGAATGTCCATGAATTTTTTTAACATACTTCATGAATATAAATTTTATTACTTTTCTGCTGAATGCATATGATAAATATATGAAGAATTCAGTTAAGAGGTGATTAATAATGAATTTTATTTATAATAATTCTTATAATTAAAAATTAAAGAAATAACTTAATTGCACTCATAAAAAATTAATCATGACTTAATTCTGATAATTTTTTCTTTGTTGAATACTCCACTAGTCTGAAAAATTAATGGTATTTTGTGTTTTTTTAAACTTAATATAGTTTATTAAGTATCAAAGTAGTCTATACAATAACCTAGATAATAAATCAGATAAAAGAGAATAGAAGGTAAAATATAAAATAGATAATAGATTAAACAAGTAACAAACAATTATTGAAATACAGTAGAGCGTCGATTTTCCGAATCAATTGGGGACTGGGGTTGTTCGTATAACTGATATTTCGGATAACCGATTTATGTACGAAAAAATAGTTTAACGTATCTGATGTTGAAATTTTTCTCCGTTGTGTGTNTAAAAGTTCGTCCGATGGAGAATTATTTTTAATAAAATAAAAGACAAAACTGTCCAAAAAGGATCACCATTTATTACTTGTGTTCCAAGACTAAAACATTTTCGGCGACTGACCTTTCTTTTTAGGCTACTTGTCGCCGTAAAGTTCACAAAAAGTCCTTTTAAAAACACAAAACATCCAATTAAAATTTTATAAAATTTCTGAAAAAGGAACTGGTGACATGCAGTTGTCTTGCTTCCATCATACCTTCTTTTGGGATTTTCTTCTTCTTTTTATCTACTAAAGAGTAGCGCTGGAAAATGTAGATTTTTAGAGAAGTTGCCCCCTGGTGACGATATATGTAGAAATTTCTTCTGTGAAAGTTCGTCCGATGGAGAATTATTTTTAATAAAATAAAAGACAAAACTGTCCAAAAAGGATCACCATTTATTACTTGTGTTCCAAGACTAAAACATTTTCGGCGACTGACCTTCCTTTTTAGGCTACTTGTCGCCGTAAAGTTCACAAAAAGTCCTTTTAAAAACACAAAACATCCAATTAAAATTTTATAAAATTTCTGAAAAAGGAACTGGTGACATGCAGTTGTCTTGCTTCCATCATACCTTCTTTTGGGGTTTTCTTCTTCTTTTTATCTACTAAAGAGTAGCGCTGGAAAATGTAGATTTTTAGAGAAGTTGCCCCCTGGTGACGATATATGTAGAAATTTCTTCTGTAAAAGTTCGTCCGATGGAGAATTATTTTTAATAAAATAAAAGACAAAACTGTCCAAAAAGGATCACCATTTATTACTTGTGTTCCAAGACTAAAACATTTTCGGCGACTGACCTTCCTTTTTAGGCTACTTGTCGCCTTTTTTTTAGGAGACTTATCGTTAGTTGTAAACTTATGAACTCTTAATTATCCTCATTGTTGGCACGATAGGTGGCTCTTCAAGATTTTCCAACATTGTGAAATTATTTATTTTCTAGCATATGCAGCAGATATATATTCTGCTTCAGTGGATGGAAAACTAACAAACTTGATTTCTGTTTGACTAGGAAATTCAACTATTAGCAAGCTAGAATAAATTTCACTCAATGATTTTCTATCTCCAGCCCAATCTACATTAACAAAGCAAATCAAGTTTCTCACCAAGTGAAAAGTTTAAGGAAGGTCATCTCCATGAGTTTTGTGATTTTCATGAACTGCTGATGGTGCAAACAACAGAAGGAAATGACTGAAGCAAAGGTTTTATTTTTGTTAAAAGTTGTACTTATATTTATTGTATTATTATTAAATGAAAGTTTTAACTTTAAATTAGAATTGGATTAAGGTAATGTATCACTCAGTTGCATTCCAGTTCTTTTATTGAGGATTATTCACTCTTCTGCATAGAATTTCACCTTACAACTGCAGTTGCTATATATCAGGGCTTGTATTAATTGTGAGGATCCGAATCCAGACTTTCTGTGTGTTTGTCATTACATCATAATATCACATCTTAGCTATACTTTCGTTTAATAACTGTCAACTTTTAAACATGGGAGCTAAACGTCTGTTAAGTTCTCAGGCTTAATAACAACGCTTTCTCATCACCTTTCGACCTAATATCTCCATTTCAACAATACAACCTGAAAACAAAACAACAACAACAAAGTGACACAGTCGTCGCCCCATCCTGGAAGAGTTCAGTCTCAAGTTCCGTATATTTTTCCGTGTGCGTTGTGCTTTTCACTGGACCATCGGACTTATTTAAGTGCCTATTCTCTGGATTAACATCGACCCAAAATACTTGATTGCCTAACTGGATTAACTTAGTTGTCAAGACCTACTAGTAACTCACTAAAACTCAAGGTATTTATCGCCACACGCAACTTATGTAAACTCTCCTTCTCGAGGACCGCAGAACTGTAAGCGAAATCTTACATCTATTTTAATGTCTATTATCTATATCTAATATCAATTGTAGCAAAGATCTCTAACAGCTAGCATATTTCAAATCGATATATTTTATACCCTGTATGGCCTATAATTATCAATTAAATAGTTGTTACGTTAGCCCGTCTCTGAGTAAGTCACTTCCGGTGTGCTGTCTCTCCTTCCATCCCAAATCCATTCGCTCACACACGCGATCGTTCGAGCGAGAACACAACAGTTTCTGTGTCTGTCCATAAAGACACAGTGGTGTCAGTCCTGACGAAACTTGTCATTGCGATCTTCGCCAACGCGATGTTGACCCTTTGGTCACGTGATGCCGAAGTATAGGGAGGCCCCTTCAGCATTGTCACACAATAGTTATAGCAATGTACAATAATGTTTCCATTGTTTGTCTATTGGCATTATTATTTGACAAAACACCACTCTCCTCTGCCTGTTTCAATTAATTTGAATCTATTGATATATATATTCCTTTAGTCTTCTTTAATCCATAATTTTCATTGATCTAATTCAGCGATTCCCAACCTGTGGTACGCGTACCCCTAGGGGTACGCGATAGGTTGTTTAGGGGTACAGAAAAAAGTTAGTTATTATGGCAGAAAAAATAATATATTATGTATCACAAACTAATAGTATTAAAAAATTATTNAAAACAAGTTCTTATATCTTTGTTTCATGTCAATTATCTATTTTAGAATTAAAATAAATAAACTGTTTATTTTTGACATTTCCAGTATTTGTTTAAAATTTTTATGGAAACACAGTTTCCCTATCATCAAATGTCACAGCACATTAACTTATATGAACTTCTGGTTTGGACTTTCAGTCCAAACCAGAAGTTCATATAAGTTAATCAGGGCTTCTTGTCACTAAGCTTTCCATATCTGGTCTTGACTTTCATCTATCTAACTTCTCTCTCAATATTAAGAAAGAAAAAGCAGATGCCATTAGGAATTTACAGGTCTGCAGTTTGAAAATTGCAGCCCAATGAGGTCTACACGAAGTTTGAGTAAAGGAGTTTGAAAGTTTATGATTTAGTTATAACAATATCACTTGCAATGCAAAATCATATATTTAATAATTCACAGATACTGAAGAGTTCTATTTAATATTTATAAGGAAATCTGTTCAAAGGATCTTTATTCTATTTAGGTGATGTGTTCTTTTACAGTTTTTTTTTTTCATATTCTTGTTTTTCATCACTCTGGGCTCTTTATGAACATTATAAACAACAGTTCTTTAGTTTTGAATACAGTTAAACACTACAAACAAAATATTTTTACTTGCTTTTATTAAAGTCTATATTAATTATAATTATANCGATCAAGATGTCCGCCACGGTTGGGAATATACTAAATACAATGTAACTGGATGGAGGAAAAAACAATTATTGGATAATCATTTTAATTTTTGGTGGCTTTATTATATTATTATCCAACTGTGAGAAAAATAATCTGATAATTATTACTAAATTAATAAAAAAAATACTAAATTTGAATATAAAAAGAATAACCTGAGTAAATTGGTAATGCTGTTTGTTCCTCTGTCCATAACACGTAACACTTCTCCAGTTTTCCTCATTATATGCCAGCGCAATGATAAACTGTGTAAAAAATAAAGAAAATATGTATGTTATATGATCAGAAGGCACTGATTTATATATATATATATATATATATATTTTTTAAATTAATTATTTATAAGACCTAATTTATAATTAGTTCTTAATTTGTAGCCAGGTAAAAGATATTCATTCAGTTATAGAAATAACTGTTTATGATGAAGACAGAGATAAACGTTGTGAATTTCTAGGAAAAGTTGCTATTCCACTTCTAAAGGTAAATTTATAAATTTTATGTTTAATGTTGTTATTTCATTTATTGTATGTTTTTAAAATATTAATTTTTTTATATTATCATTTTAGTAGAATATTTTTATTTATTTAAAATCATAATTTTGAAAGAGAATGATGATAAAATACATTATTGTATATTTAAAAAATATTTTAAAATGCATAATTTTCATATAACAGGTTAAGAATGGAGAAAAGAGATGGTTTGCTTTAAAAGATAAAAAACTAAAGGCAAGAGCCAAAGGGCAAATTCTCTTGGAGATGGATATTATTTATAATCCTGTTAGTATCTATTATTGTATTTAATGAAATTAAAATTATTTTGTGAATGAACATTAAAATATTTAATCCCTTGCCTTATACTTTAGTGATACAAAGAATGAAAATTGGTTATTTATAATTATGGAAAGTAAGAAAATGCATGCCATTTTTATAAATTTATAATAAGAATCCATAGTGCAAAGTATATTGATGAACATATATAAATAAAATTAAACGTTTTCTTAAAAATCAACAACTATTTTATTATTTACATTGCTTTATTTTTACCTCTGCACTTTACATAGTTTCCCTCTATTCTTTACATATTGTTTGTATTGAATTAAGTATTTGTATTGTTTATTCAAAAAATATAAATTTAAATTTAAAATATTACAGTTATATGTACAAATAATTTTGGCCTGTATTATGATATTTTAATATAATGTTATTTCATTTTAATTCTTTGTGCAGACATGATCATATTTGCTGCATTGATTTTATATGGAACATTTGAATTCAATAAAATTGTGATGGTTCCATAGCATGTAAACTTAGACTGAACCCAAACAAAGAAACCAGTCAGCTTAACAAAGGGAATTTTAATTTTTACTTTTGAGGATTTACAACAAACCACTATCATACAATCCAAGGTGCAATTCATCTTTCTTACTCCTTCCTCCTTCCAAGTGCTTCTTCGCATACAACAAATGAGAACCAGGTAGTCAATCAACTGCTTACATTTGATTCTTTCCCGACAGCTCTTATTTCACTGAAAAAAATAATAACAGCCAAGTATACTTAAATACTGATCTTGCAATATGCATACATGAAAGGGAAACAAAGGGAGATGTGAAATAGAATAAGAAGAACAAAGTAACAGGAGGAATCGTGGTTTGAGACATGGGTTGCACATTAGGGTTAACAGATTTAACTCACTTGAATGTAAAAAATAATGTCCTCAGATGATACTTCCTTCCAGTGCTTTTTTTGTCATAGAACACAATGGAACGGCATTCCACCACCTTTTTTTAACCAAAAAAAGCACCGAATAAAAGTAATGCAATATATTTGTAATATATTTCTAGTAATGAGATGAGCATTCCACCACCTTTTTTTTCCCCAAAAAAGCACTGCTTCCTTCTAATATGTACCCTTTGGTATTCATCCAATATTCAAGTACATACAGCCAGACAGCCTGATGAAAAGGATTCCTTCAAGACGATCTTCTCATAGCTTCTGATGACTCTCACTCTGGTCCACCTTCTTCAGCTCAATGCACAGCTGTCTATTTTCCCACTTACTTCCACATGCTTCTCTTCTCTCTCTCAACTTCAGGTGGAAACTACAAGCAGGGTGCAAACACACATAAAAAAGGGCCTGTCACACACGACCTCTCAGTGCTTTTATACTTTCCAGGAGGATATTCTCCCTCTCCCATGTGACTCCTGTTGGGAGTCAAATGGGAAAGAGATTCAGATCCAGATGCCAGTTTCATACAGGCTGTTGAAAAGGCAACAGCACAGAATGAATGAAAGGACAGAGGCGAAAAAAGTGAAAAAGAAAAAATATATATTGTATACATTGCAGAGCATTACAAAAATAATGGGTTCATTATGCATTAACTTATATACATACCTGATCTGTATACTAATAACTAAATAATTTATTAAGTTATCATTTATCATTATTCAGTTTATTAATAATATGAATTTAGATTACCAAATATGTCTTCTATTAAAAGAATTTTTCTTCTTTTCTTTTAATCAGTTTCAAACTTTCTCTTAAGTTCTAAATTTTCAACAAAAATTATTCTGTTAATTGGCAAGCGCCAAATCCGACAGAGGGCGCTGTTTTTGAGCCAAGATGGCTGCCGAAACAGGTAAGGAGCCGACCACGTGTTTGTTCAGTGCCTGAGCCGATTCAGTTTCTATCGGTGACGACTACTGCAAGGACCAAATGAAGAACAAATCATTGAATTTATGTCAAATTCTAGACTATATCGGCGACAGGAAACGTCTTGTAGAAGGTGAAGCCGTTTTGGATATATGTGACGTACACACACACAAAACATAATGTGTGCTACAAACTTTTGACTGGACTATGTCGTATAAGTGCTGAAGACTCAGCAGGGCAGCCTTCAGATTGGTACTAATTTTAACTATTATGATAAATAAAACTTTGTTTTTATATTGGAACATGGTGTATACTGCTTAAAATATTTAAATACTCACCTGTTAACGTGTAATAAACATGCTATCACATGTTTACAAAAACCAGACAGCTACGCTTTGCACAATAATTCTCCCTGTAATTGAGATGAATTAAAATACCAATATCTGAGATTGCAACATTAAAGCAACAACATGAACTTCGGTGTTGTTGTTAGAGTTTAATCCACGAAATATGATGTGTTCGGCATCCAAAACGGCTTCACCTTCTACAAGACAACGTTTCCTGTCGCCGATATAGTCTAGAATTTGACATAAATTCAATGATTTGTTCTTCATTTGGTCCTTGCAGTAGTCGTCACCGATAGAAACTGAATCAGCTCAGGCACTGAACAAACACATGGTCGGCTCCTTACCTGTTTCGGCAGCCATCTTGGCTCAAAAACAGCGCCCTCTATCAGATTTGGCACTTGCCAATAGTAAATTTAAAGTAATATTGTCAAACCCCATTTATTAGTTTCTCAGTTATATGTGTTTTGCAATCATAAATATTTTTTGTATGTTACTTTCTCCATTATAAAACATTTCAGTTATATGTCTTTCATTTATAAGATTTTGCACTTATACAGTACATCATATTTTTCAGTATCCTAAAGCATTTTTTTCTCATTTATGCATTATTCACTTTGAAAAGGAAAAATTCTAACTAATTGTTAAACTGAAAAATTGAATTGTTTTCACTTTGGCTTAGTCCACACTGACATCAAATTTCCAACAAATGCAAAAACAGAGTGGATAATTTATAATGTGATGACATTTCCAACAAGTTTTCCCATTTAGAAAAATTGCTCCAATGCATTGAAAATGTTTGCTTTCCACAATTTGTATATGAACCAATTTCCCTAAGCAAAATAAAATAGCTTTCCATTTTCTCATACATTTTCACTATTCACTGTCAGTGTGAGCTAACCTTTAGATTGACTCTTCATTCTTTTACATGACTGGAGTTTCATTAGAGACTGACTTGTCACATACTCTACTAATATGTGATAAGTCCATTAAAAAATAAGAAACAAAGAAAGTAAATTTTTAAAAAATACATGACTTAATTTCATTGTTTTACTTTTATTTTTATATGTTGTTCAAATGTATTTATACACTAGCAAAGAAAGTCCAGCATTGCCTAGGAATTCAGGGAGGGGGTTGAGTTGTCCATGTTATAAGGTAGCATATGTTTCCCACAGGATGGCAGAGTGTAACTATGCAAACTTTGGTGCATATCAGTACAAGGGTTTGAGGATTTGTAGGGGAGATGAAATCAGCAGGAAGGAGGGTCCAAATTTCATAGTAGCTTATGTACATTAGAAAGTAATAAGCTTTCCAATGATAAAAGAATTAAAAACTCAGTTCAGTATATTCTGAAATTACCTTGAAGTAAGAAACAAACATTCTCTCTTTATATGCATTTATTTACACCTAATTCATGCCTTTTCTTAATTATATTTAAGAATCTATGCAAAGACAACATTTAATGTTTTCTTACTTGTGGTAAAAAAAATATATTGATCACTCACACTTCCAGACCTAGAAAGACCCAACATATAATTAGGGAAGTAAATTCTCATAACATAAGACTAATTCTTATTTTTAAATAATGGTACATTAGGATTAATATTAAAACAATGAATACATGTAAATACAATAGGCTTACATAAAAAATTTAGTTTCATCCAAAAGAAGTAAATTCACTCTTTATAATTGTATCTGATAACATAAGAACATTATTATAAGAAACAAATGACAATAAAAACAAAGCATATATACAACTATCTGAACTGCACAAGTCAAAGCTGAAACTAAATGGATAAGATAATAAGTTTAAAAAAGCCCACCAGGTGGCGAAGGGAATTGGCCTTGAATGCTGTGGTAAATTCATCTTTCTCATGCATTTTCCTTTTATTAATTTGAAAATAAAATATGGCCTATGTTCATCTGAGGGAATAAGCATGCCAATAGCGAAATAATTTTAAAAATCAGTTCAGTAGATTCTGAGATTACCTCCAACAAACAAACACTCTCATTTTATATATTTACATATAGCAAATTGGAACTTCTTTGTTAAGAACAGTTGTACACTGTTAATTTGTGCTGTGCTGTATGTACTTTTGAGATGGTTATATTCACTCTGAAAGCAAGTCAAAAGTAGTTTCATTTGTATATTTCTCAGTTCTCTTAAATAAGCATACAAATGAGGTTCAACTGTATATTTTTGCCATAAAAGGTATATTTTCATAAAATGAAAAGAAACTGGAAAAATAAGGATTTTTACTTTAGTTTTCAATTTATAACTTAATAAGTAATATATTCATTGAAATTTTAAAATGTTAATAGATTATTATAGTTTTAAAATTATTTTACTTTTGAAAATTAAATTAGTCCAGTTTTAAAAAATAATTTAGTGTAATGGTAAAATTTATAACATTAAAATATGAGAGGTAAAGTTCCATGTTGTTTTGAAATAATAAATTTATCACAATTTTATTTTTATTAAATTTATATATACTAGATATTCATGAGGAATGTCAACAGAGTGAAAATGATGGTGATGGATTTTGTTGAAATTGCAAAATTTCTGAATAGTTGTTTTCAATGGGAGTCAACTGTAAGAAGTGTTATTTCCTTTGTGGTATGTAAAATGCACAAAATAATTAAGTTGTGATATGATTTTATAGCAATTTTAATAGCAATATTAAAGATTGTAATTTTTTAAAGGTCTTCCTCGTCATCACTTACACATTTGAGTTATATATGCTACCCATTGCCCTCCTCCTAATTTTCTTCAAAAATTATATTATCTTCGCTATTACTGGTTTCACAACTGGTACAAAAGATGATGATGAGGTACGTTAAGACAATGAAGCATTTTTGCATGAAATTTCATTAACATTCTCTTATAATTTTACTCCAATATATTGCCTACTAGTATTCATCCCTTATCCTTTAGAACAGTAGATCAATAATTAAAAATTCTCTTGGTTCGGTAGTTTGCTGAGGAAGATGAGGAGGATGACGATGACGATAGAGATTCCAAAAGTGTAAGCATCTTTATTATAAAACATTATTTGCTAAATTATGTAAATTGTTTTAATTACACTTTTTCACAATACAGTATTGATTTCATAGTATATATTTTTTAAATTCATATCTGTATAGACTTAGTTTTTAACTTTTATATCCACAAAAATTTTTTTCAAATATAGTTTCACATTTAATTTTTCTTTTTAAATTTTTTACCCTAATCTTTGTTTGGTGTGATTTTATATTAATTCATTTTGTGCAAGTATTATATTTTTGCATCAGTTTTTTTGATACAAAAGATTCACAATTTCATATGCAGACGTTCAAGAATTTTATTGATCATTAGATTAAAAAAGGTGATTGTCTTTAATAATTGAGCTGCTTATGTGATCCCCATATTGTTTTGATTATTTTTATTACATGCCTTCCCTGCACCAGTGAAATTAACATTCCTGCACCTCCCTTCTTACAGAACAAAAAACCCGAGGTAAGCATGGATTTGGATGATGGTTTACTGCTTAATTACCAATTAATTTTTTAATGTGATCCCTTTTATCATGCTTGTAGAATGACTTAAATCACTATCTAACTGCATGATTAACGTTATTAATATAATTAATTTTTCATAAAATCTCACAAAACTTTGCATCATGTTGATAAACAAATAAATTAAATCACAGTTCAGGTGGCCAGTGCTTTTAATTAAGGAAATAAATATTTAGTTTTCTAGCTGTCCATTTTTAGATTAAAACTATTTATTTAACACTTCAGAATGATATAAAAGATATACAATTGGAATCTTATGTTAGAACAAGATTCAACTTAAAATTTCCAGAATAATTACAAAAGAATGAATAAATCTGTTGAAACATACTTGAATTAAATTTCTTTTGTAGTTTTAAAGAATAAAATTCTTTTAATAAAAGTGTTGATTTCCTGAACTAAAGTGGTTTGATTTATTTATTTGTAATTAATTTGTTAACTTACCATAGTATATTTATTTTTAAGTGTATTGATTCTTTAGTAAGTATTACAATGAACATATGGAAGTATTTAAATGATTGAGATAAAAGTAGAATGTCAAAATTTGCCATTTTATAGTTCCATTAAGAAAAATGTTTTTCATGCTGAAATATGAAAAAATTCTTAAATAAATAATAACACCTTTTAAAATGTATACATTTAGAATATTTTAATAAAATAGGATAAATGTTATATGATCTCTGATCATTCTATTTGCCTAATCAAACTATTACTTTAATTAAAGAGCATTTATCATTATCTGTTAAGTACAGAAACAGAAGTAATTTCATTAAAACTCACAGGGCTGGATTTGAGGCAATTGGAGCGATTTGCACCAATCGGGTCCCGCACTTGAAGGGGTCCGCAGGACATCAAAATTTATATATTTAAAAATAGTTTCAAATTACAGAATAGATTAAACAGTTTAGCAATCATGTCGATTGAGAGTCAAGAAGCAAGCCAGTTGGATTTTGATACTATTTTAGAAGATTTTACTGAAAAAACTTTGGAACATATAAAACATCTCTTTATAGGTTTATATTCAATAAAATTCAGTTATATTCATTCATCAACATATTAGATTTTTCATGGCAAAAAAATTATGTAGTTATATTCATTTATAAATATAGAAATACTAAAACATATCTATGTATGTTTATATTCAATAAAATGTAGTTGTATTTATATTTGGTACAGGTTTTTTAATGTATAAATTTGTCTACCTTATGGTTCATGACTTTTGATTTTCATAATTAGATTTTGGATTTTGTTTTAAATAAATATTTAAAATCTATATTTCAATATGTAAATTAACTGTTAATTAATTTTGTTATTTAAAGTTTGAGGGGCCCCGCAAAAAAATTCAATTGGGCCTCGCACCTATTGCATCCGGCCCTGAAAACTCAATTTTAATAACTTTAACCAGTGGTACTCAAACTTTTCAATTGGCAGGTCAATTGTGCATAAGTTATAAGTAGGCAAGCTATAAATATTTTGTATAATCCATATCTATAAAAAATAGGCATGTTTCTGTCATTTATAAGTGATGTGTCAAATATGCTCATGGGCCAGATTTGGCCCTGGGGCTGTATTTTGAACACCATTGATTTTTGCCATCATGTTTCTTAACGTTTTTGAAAAACTTAGCTTTCTTTTTGTTTATGGCGTTTTCTACAAACTCATTCCACTGTATTTTATAAAAAAATTTGTAAAAAGCCCATACATTTTTTTGAAATGACCATAAAAGTTTATTTTAGTAAACAAATCGTTTTAGGTTTTGACTGCTTGCTGTTCTCTCAATTAGTTGTAACCTATGTTCTCTGGAACCAAGTATTAAATTGCCATTGAGAACTTATCAGACAGGAACACTCCTCTTGATGGAAAAATGGATTTTTATTTTCTATTTTTTATAAAAGATATGCATTTCAGGCCTTCAGTCCTTATTACCATGTGTATAATGGTAAAACTATATAAGAAATTACAGAGTGCATTAATAGTTATTTATAATTAACATATGCAAACAACCCACCAAAAATACAAAAATTACGTAAAAATGTAACTAATGGTGAATACTGGAATAACTAATTGTTAAAAACATGGGGTAAAACAAGTAAAACTGAAATAAATTAAAATATAATAAAATAATTGAATATTGATAAAAAAAAAAAACTAATAAGAGGGTACACCTGTAAAATAAAAATAAAAATTTTTGTTAAATGTAGAAAAAATTGACCAATAAAAGGGAAAAAACATTAGGTTTAAATTTGTTTTTACTCCTTTTATTGGTTAATTTTTCTACATTTTAACAAAAAAATTTTTCTACATTTTATTTTTATTTTACAGGTGTACTCTCTTATTAGTTTTTTCTTTATCAATATTTATTTATTTCAGCTTTACTTGTTTTACCCCATGTTTTTAACAATTAGTTATTCCAGTAGTCATCATTAATTATATTTTTAGGTATTTTTTGTGGGTTGTATGCACATGTTAATTATAAATAACTATTAATGTACTCTGTAATTTCTTATATAGTTTTACCATTATACACATGGTAATAAGGACTGAAGGCCTGAAATGCATATCTTTTGTAAAAAATAGAAAATAAAAATCCATTTTTCCATCAAGAGGAGTGTTCCTGTCTGATAAGTTCTCAATAGCACTTTTATGCTTGGTTCCAAGGAACATACAATTCATTTTAGTTTATTGCTTCCAATTTGATAAGAGTTTTTAATTTAAATACTATTTCTCATGTACTTTCAATGTTTCTTTAAAATATAATTAATACTTCTTTAAATATATTGTCTTAAGTTGTTTTATTATTAATTACTCTATTAAGAATTACTTTCTTTGTTATTTGAGATAAATTTTTTAACCTTTAATAATATTTCTGTAAAATACAATGGAACAAGTTTACATAGATACATAAATAAAACAATATTTATTTTATTAAGAGAGGATCAAAAGAGAAAAGACAAAATTCTTAACTCTGCAATGATAACAATTAGTCAATGTAGGTCTATTACTTGTCAACTACCACATGTACAACATTTAACAAAGCCAAGTATAGTTTTCAAACCTGTTCAATGTTTTCTTAAGATAACCAAGCAGCACTGGGTACATTATATAATATATGATAAAGTGTCTAGAATTTGTTTCATAACAGCTAATAAGATAATAACATTAATTAATCTTAAGTGAAAATGTAAAATATTAGTAATGCATAACATTTAATATTACCATTATTATTAATATCAATAACATCAGTATGCATATTTCATTTGGTAGTCAATATAACAAACTTTATGGAATGTTTGGAATTAATTAAGTCAATATAACAAAATTTATGGAATGTTATGGAATTAATTACCATTTGCTTTCACAAGCAAATGGTAATTAATAGGCATAAATATTATTTTCTATAAGTAAATTTATCAAACAGGTACTTAATGATACATGATAAGTTTCACAAGAAATAATGTATTATGATTTTGGGCCTATAACTCCTATGAAGTTTGTTGTAAAAAATTTCAATAAAATTAAAAAATTGAGACTATGAAAATACATTTATCCTGGAAGTTGTGGGGTTATGAAATGAATAATGCATATAAAATAAAGAAAACATATTTGAGCAGTCTTTCAGTTTAACAAAATAAATCTACTCTGTGATGTGCTGTCTTTCAAACTTTTATTTTCCTTTATTTAAAAAGGTTCTGGAGTCCTCAGTCATAAAGTGGTGGAGTTTGTTTTAAATTTTTTGTGAAGTTCTGTGTTGGAATTGGCTTCCCAACAGTTTAAACTACTGATGCCATGAATAGTGATTTTGTCGAATACCAAATATTAGGCTATGCTCTCGGCCAAAGCACTGAATATTTGGTGGCTGAATGTTCGGCAAAATATGTGTACGTTTCGTGGATGACAGATTACGACCTGTCTCATTGCAGTGGGTGCGGTAGCGACACCGCGGGCGCATTTGTTTTATTTGCAAGTAGATCGTGTCACAACATGCATTATTTGTTCATTGTTACATCAAATTGTGTTACTAATAGTCCTTATTACTAAAAAATATCACTGTTTGTATCACTTTGTATGAAAACTGTTTGCCTAGATTGGACGGCAGACCTTTACAAGTGGTGGTCAGCATACACAAAACAGTATCCAAGCCTGACAGAATTCGCTAAGATTTATCTAGCGTCTCCCAGCAGTAGTGTATATAGTGAGAGGCTATTTTCAGAAGCAGGTATAGTTTATGAGGAAAAGCGCAATCATTTGCTATCAACAAATGCTGAAAAAATTGTTTTCATTCATCACAACTTATACTGATAGATTAATAATAACACTGATAGATTTTAAGTATTAAATGTAATAATTTGATTAAAATAAATACTTTTTTGAGTAATATGTGCGTTTTTTTTTTTTTTTTTTCATGATTTGGTATTCGGTATTCAGCCAAATAGTATGCAACATTCGGCCAAATATCGAATATTAAAAAAAGTAGCCAAATATTCGTGGCATCTCTAGTTAAAACTGTTTGATTGGTTCCAATACATTTGTGTACATTAGATACATTTTAAAGTAAAAAATAGTAAAAAAGGTACATTTTGTTTACAAGGAATGTACTGAAATCCCATGTTGGTCAAAGGCAGCAATTGTGTCTTAGCATAGTGAGACATCTAATCAAAACATATAATCTCCATTCAGGTAGTGCTGCTTTAAGAATGGGACTAGTCTTTTCATGATGTACTACATACCAATGCTGTTATATACTTCCATTTTAATGCAAAGTTTAGATGATGTGATAAAAACCCAAGACCACTTACAAAGGCTTATAACTACCTACACCAAAATCTTTGTAGGGAATTTTCCATAATGTTTGAACTTTACTATTGACATAATACCCTTTGCTTTTTCACAGTAAAAACTTATTTCCTCCACATTCAGAGCCATTTAGTGTAAAATAAGATTTGTTGTCTATAACAACATCAAGGTTATTTTTAGGCCATCTTTGTTAGATCTTTGTTTAGTCACTAGAGTAATCGTGTTTGATTTCCTGTTTCACAGTGTATTTTGATGCAGAAATCCTTTTCTACAGCAAAGGGATTTTTAATTACAATAAAGTAAAAATATATTTCCCTTTTCAGACAATACATACATAATGTGTCTTTAAAACTATACGTCCTTTCTCACGCAGTTGAGGGATAAGACAATTCCACGGCAGAGTCGACTTTTTATTTGAGGCTTCTCATCCACCTTCAAATGTGAAACAGTCCAGACTTCCCTCCAGCGGTAGCTCCGCTATGGAATTGTCTTATCCCTCAACTGCGTGAGAAAGGACGTATAGTTTTAAAGACACACTATGTATGTGTTGTCTGAAAAGAGAAATATATTTTTTCTTTATTGTAATATATTGTCCTGGCCTATTTTAAAATTTTAAAAAAGGATTTTTAATTAATTTGTATATATGTAGATGGAGTAGAGACTAAGAAAACTTGACCATGATAATATGTGTTCATATGATTGTGAATGGTGTTTTGTATGAAGACTTAAAAATTTTATCTTAATAAATTTTCAATTTATAATATTTTTATGAAATTGTTTCTGTTTTTGTGCTAAATAGCTGATGAATAAGTTCTTAATTAGAAAAAAAAAACATAAAAATTAGAAACTATAACATCACATCCATTATATTAAGTGTAGTACAATATACTCATCCTAAAAGAAGGAATAAAGTGACTTTCAAGCTTTGGAACTGTTTTGGAATAGCCTTGAAACTGCCTATTTTGTATTCAGATGATACTATCAAATTAGAAAAGAGCTGATAATATATAAAGGTAATGATCTGTTATCAGTTCTAAAATCTAAATCTTAGTATCTAATCTAAGATCGCTTAGTGACACATTTTCATAGATTCCTCATTAAACACCTAAAGGATTACTGGAATGCCTTTTCAAATGATAATTTCTTTGAAGAAATTCTCAAAAGCAAAAATTATACAATACAACTGATTAAATTACTTTCAATATCTTATATACAAGATGTGTTCAAAAAGTTTCTGGAGAGTTGGTATTTTTTGAAATAATTACCCACAGCTTCAATACACTTTTACTAATGGTTTGTCAATTCAGGAAATATTTAGAAAATTCAGCTTCTTAGAGGGATAATAAAATTTTCATTTTATTCATCTTATAGGAGTTCTATTGATTCTCCCAGTCTAGCTCCTAATGACTTTCTTTATCCAAAATATTGACTCAATCTGTTTTCTTTTTAAAAAAAAAACTTTAAAAGGAAATCAGATTGAGTCAATAGAACTAACACAAGGTATTGAAGAAAATTCTATGATTTCTGAAAGCTGATTTTTAAAATTTTTTCTGAATTGGAGAAATTGTATCGAAGCCTGCGGTGATTATTTTATAAGGAATTTATTTAATATGTATTGAACACACTTCGTAAATAAATGGCTAAATAGATAAATATGTTTTAAATAAAGAAAATATTTTTATTTATGAAATGCAACAGTTAAAAATTTTTAAGTTTATATGAAACTGAACATCAATAAAGTACATAAAACATGTATAATCAGGATTGTTTTTTCCAGTTTGAACAGGTTTTAATTTCTTTTTTCTGTTTTTCTTTAAACTACATCAGATAAAAATCATATTTGGTTAAGTTCATTTTTTTATAGTAAAATTACATTTATATTTGTAAAAAATTATTACTAGACTTAATCCAATGTGATTTTAAGTAAAGATGGAAGTAGTAATTGAATGCAAGAATTGAGAACTATAGAATATATATATTGCAAAAATATATATTGCAAAAAGTCTTCATTGTTCTCAAGAACTTACATTTTAATAATTTGATGAAACTAAAATTAATGATAAAAATTTTTTAATATAGGAAGAAAAAAAGTCATTAAAAGAGAAACTACAAGCTGTTCAAGAAGTAACTGCAATGATCCAGAATATACTCGGAGAAATTGCATCTATGGGTGAAAGATGTAAAAAGTAATTTAGATTTGTTCTTTAATTTATTTTTAATAATAATAGAAATTTATATGTAACTAGCAAGTAAACCCAGCATTTCTTGGCAAAAAATAAGAACAAACATTAAGATTATTAGCTTATTTCATACTTCTAACCCTTCTATTGTATTATATTATAGTGCTTGATTTATATAACTACAAAGATTATCTTACATAAGGGTTTATCATACCAAGTGAACAATGTGACAAATTTTAAAAATCTTTAAATTGTATACAGTAAAGGAATAAAGAATTTTTAATTTAAATGTGTTAGATTGGTGTGATAAACTCTTACATAAGATAACCATTGTAATTATATAAATCAAATACTGTAATATAATAAACATAAATATCTTATAAAGAGTTTGGTTATTTCAGCCTACCATTGTCATGTTTATCGTGATACAAAATGGCACTATTTCATTGATCAAGTAGACAGCATTTTTTCTAATGTTATCTAATATCAAATGGTAATCTGCCAACAAATAAAATTTTTAAAAACAGACCAAAGATTTAAATTCGGCATCCTGGAAAATGTCTTAAAACATATTTTGTGCTTGCCAGTAGTCTTGTATTATACAATTCTCATATTTGAATTCCACCATATCAATGGTTCAATAGAAAGAAAGGCTGTTGTGGAAGGAGATTGAAGTTAATTTGACCAAAAGTAGGCATTGACCTCCTCTTGGAAGAAAGGATGGTCAAAAACTACTAATTAATACTGGTCTACTATTAATATTTGAAAACTGATCCTTGTTGGATAGGTTGTGATGGCCCCATTGTGATCAAGTTGCTAACCTTAACATTTGAAAAACTTCATATAAGACTTGTTTAACTAAAAAAATCCTGTAAAACGCAAGAATAAAATAATTGCTTTTATGCAATTCCATTAAAAAAATGGGATTACATAAAAGCAATTATAAAACTGATGAAACCAGGTTGAAAAGTAAAGCTTAGCAAAATAATTTAACTAAAGAAAACTTTTGAAACTTGTGGCATAAGCAAGCATACTGGATGCAAATTTGAAGTAAGATTCAATGTATGAATAAAGTGCACATTACACAGTACAACTACAGGAAGTTTTGTATGAAGCAATGCCACTATGATCATAAATATGAAAAATAAACATTGGCACAGAAAAACATTTTGAGCTCTACTTTGTGCCTTAAAATCATATATGTATTAGGTTGAACATATGTATCATTTTGAATGGGATGGTACCAAGTTTTTTAGTTCTGTCCTGACTTCCTGCCATTTTAGTAAAATTTTCACTTTTGTCCCACTGTTTTGAAAAATAAAAAATTTAGATATCTAGTTTGTACTGTATATTAGACACATTTGTATATTGTATTTTGAACTTGTGATTTGTTAAAAAATGTTTATTCTGCATCAAAAAGAGTCAAACTTGAACGGATACTACTGAAGAACATGCTTGGATGACAAAAAATATAAAATAGTTTCATTGAATTTAAGATACATATTACATGAACAGAAATAGCTGAAATTTGATTATTCTATCAATGGATGATAAGACAACAATAAGTAACAATCAAACACTTGAAAAAATAGAATGAAGAAAAAATCAATGTGACTGACAGATGGGACAAATTATTTAATGAAATGCATGGAAGGATCTTGAATTCCAAGATTTTAATATAATAATATAGCATTACTCCTTTGTTTCTAGCAACTACAGCTTCTGAAGAAAGAATATTTTCTCTTTTGGCCAAGGAATTCATGAGTGAAGTCAAAATGGAATATTGAAGCCATGAAAACAATACTAATTATAAAACAAAATTGCAAGTAACCAGAACTTATTAGACAAATAATAATAGATCAAATGAGCATATTTTTCAGATGGACTTATTTTGATGAGATTTTTCAGATCATTTGAGCTACATCAACTTAACTTTTGAATTTGATCATTAAAATCATTTATTGTTATTAGATTTTCAAAAATAAAAGCTTTTAGATTTATGCATATTTTTTACACCACCATATTAATATCATTCATAATGTACTAAAAACTTGTTAATAATGCTCATCTATATTTTATGATGGAATTTTAATAAAAGAGGGTCTATATTTATTAGCTATGGCTATTCCATCCTATTTTAGTATCAAGAAATTATGGTCAGCCTATATATAATCCAATAATAAAATGAAGCAATGTCTAATTTAATTTTATATAGTGATCAAACTTGTATTTGTCAGTTTGATTTGACAATGATGGTTTAAATTATGTAATATTTATTCTAAAATTATGCTAAAAATAAAAATCTGAATAATTTAACATATTAAAATTGTAATATCTTTCTACATACAGCAAGGAAAATATTTAAGTCTATTTTGTTGATGTNGCAAAAAAATTCAATTGGGCCTCGCACCTATTGCATCCGGCCCTGAAAACTCAATTTTAATAACTTTAACCAGTGGTACTCAAACTTTTCAATTGGCAGGTCAATTGTGCATAAGTTATAAGTAGGCAAGCTATAAATATTTTGTATAATCCATATCTATAAAAAATAGGCATGTTTCTGTCATTTATAAGTGATGTGTCAAATATGCTCATGGGCCAGATTTGGCCCTGGGGCTGTATTTTGAACACCATTGATTTTTGCCATCATGTTTCTTAACGTTTTTGAAAAACTTAGCTTTCTTTTTGTTTATGGCGTTTTCTACAAACTCATTCCACTGTATTTTATAAAAAAATTTGTAAAAAGCCCATACATTTTTTTGAAATGACCATAAAAGTTTATTTTAGTAAACAAATCGTTTTAGGTTTTGACTGCTTGCTGTTCTCTCAATTAGTTGTAACCTATGTTCTCTGGAACCAAGTATTAAATTGCCATTGAGAACTTATCAGACAGGAACACTCCTCTTGATGGAAAAATGGATTTTTATTTTCTATTTTTTATAAAAGATATGCATTTCAGGCCTTCAGTCCTTATTACCATGTGTATAATGGTAAAACTATATAAGAAATTACAGAGTGCATTAATAGTTATTTATAATTAACATATGCAAACAACCCACCAAAAATACAAAAATTACGTAAAAATGTAACTAATGGTGAATACTGGAATAACTAATTGTTAAAAACATGGGGTAAAACAAGTAAAACTGAAATAAATTAAAATATAATAAAATAATTGAATATTGATAAAAAAAAAAACTAATAAGAGGGTACACCTGTAAAATAAAAATAAAAATTTTTGTTAAATGTAGAAAAAATTGACCAATAAAAGGGAAAAAACATTAGGTTTAAATTTGTTTTTACTCCTTTTATTGGTTAATTTTTCTACATTTTAACAAAAAAATTTTTCTACATTTTATTTTTATTTTACAGGTGTACTCTCTTATTAGTTTTTTCTTTATCAATATTTATTTATTTCAGCTTTACTTGTTTTACCCCATGTTTTTAACAATTAGTTATTCCAGTAGTCATCATTAATTATATTTTTAGGTATTTTTTGTGGGTTGTATGCACATGTTAATTATAAATAACTATTAATGTACTCTGTAATTTCTTATATAGTTTTACCATTATACACATGGTAATAAGGACTGAAGGCCTGAAATGCATATCTTTTGTAAAAAATAGAAAATAAAAATCCATTTTTCCATCAAGAGGAGTGTTCCTGTCTGATAAGTTCTCAATAGCACTTTTATGCTTGGTTCCAAGGAACATACAATTCATTTTAGTTTATTGCTTCCAATTTGATAAGAGTTTTTAATTTAAATACTATTTCTCATGTACTTTCAATGTTTCTTTAAAATATAATTAATACCTCTGGAGATATATCATTTTAAACTGTTTTGTTGCCAATTGTTCTGTTAAGAAATACTCTCATCATCATTTGACAGAAATTTTTTAACTTCTGAAAATATTTCTATAAAATAAAATGGAAAANGGACCAAAAGAATAACAACAAAATTCATTTATACTACAATGGAACCAAGCAACAAAAGTGTATGTAGTTTTTGAACCAAGCAACAAAAGTGTATGCTCATTCCTTGCTTTAACCTTGACAAATATTTCTATAAAATACAGTAGGGTGAGTCTTTACATAGATACATAAATAAAACAATATTTATTTTATTAAGAGAGGATCAAAAGAGAAAAGACAAAATTCTTAACTCTGCAATGATAACAATTAGTCAATGTAGGTCTATTACTTGTCAACTACCACATGTACAACATTTAACAAAGCCAAGTATAGTTTTCAAACCTGTTCAATGTTTTCTTAAGATAACCAAGCAGCACTGGGTACATTATATAATATATGATAAAGTGTCTAGAATTTGTTTCATAACAGCTAATAAGATAATAACATTAATTAATCTTAAGTGAAAATGTAAAATATTAGTAATGCATAACATTTAATATTACCATTATTATTAATATCAATAACATCAGTATGCATATTTCATTTGGTAGTCAATATAACAAACTTTATGGAATGTTTGGAATTAATTAAGTCAATATAACAAAATTTATGGAATGTTATGGAATTAATTACCATTTGCTTTCACAAGCAAATGGTAATTAATAGGCATAAATATTATTTTCTATAAGTAAATTTATCAAACAGGTACTTAATGATACATGATAAGTTTCACAAGAAATAATGTATTATGATTTTGGGCCTATAACTCCTATGAAGTTTGTTGTAAAAAATTTCAATAAAATTAAAAAATTGAGACTATGAAAATACATTTATCCTGGAAGTTGTGGGGTTATGAAATGAATAATGCATATAAAATAAAGAAAACATATTTGAGCAGTCTTTCAGTTTAACAAAATAAATCTACTCTGTGATGTGCTGTCTTTCAAACTTTTATTTTCCTTTATTTAAAAAGGTTCTGGAGTCCTCAGTCATAAAGTGGTGGAGTTTGTTTTAAATTTTTTGTGAAGTTCTGTGTTGGAATTGGCTTCCCAACAGTTTAAACTACTGATGCCATGAATAGTGATTTTGTCGA